AACTTTTAATAAAGAAAGCAAGATAATAATGATATTTAGCATTTGTGCCACCTAGAGCAGCATTTTGTCTCTCTAAATTGCTAATATTTCATTCAATGATGCTAAAGCATACCTCTTCAGCTATGAATGCAGCTTGAAGCAAAAAAAGGAGAAATCTGAACAACTGCAGTCATTTGTCCCTGTTCAATGAAAATGATAAAATATGGCTGAACCTCATGCTAAAGGATGAAAAACTTCAAAAAACCGTGCATGCCTTTGAAAGGAGAACACAGATTTTGCATGTACTGTGGTAGGGAATACCCCAACCTCAGCCTGACCAGGCCAGGAGGAGGAGATCTCGCTTCTCTGCATTCCAAGGAAGATGGAATGAGGCAGGTCATTGCCTGCCCGTTTCTACATTGCATTTCCTCAAAGGTGCATGCACAGATGGCACAAGAGGTCTGCATGGCTTCCTCCAGTTTGGAGGAAGATGTTAAGTTTGGCTTTTGAAGGGCCTCCTTAATACCAAAGCTGCAGAATATTTTCCATACAAAGACTATTCTGGAGCCTTTGCTTTGGATGATTCTTAGAAGACAGTTCTCCATGAATTTCAAGCATTGCAAGCTGATTAGGGGAAAAATATTTTTCTATTTATTATTGTTTAAAGCCTAATAGAGCCTGCCAATATATAAGACTACAGGATTCCAGGTGCAAACAGCTTCTGTCCCAAAGAGCGTACAAACCAAAACACGTGAACAGGCAGCTATGGATAGAAACACCAGGGAAGGGCAAAGGAAAAGCAAAGGGTCCTCAGCAGTTTGATGAGCAGACAATTAGGTGAGTGTTTGCCATTTAAATGCAGCCACAACAGGACACACAGTTACCATCTCTCCTATTTAGAGGTCTTCCTGATGCCTAACAAAGGGGTACTAATAGATAATGCTTTAGACTCCTAACACTGTTTAAAATACCAGGCATTGTATGCTACCCTTGTGGAAAGAAGTCATTGCCCGTTACCTGAGCCTTCTGAGCCTCGTACTGTTTAAAATAAGGATATTTGTTTGTTGTGTTTATGTAAGCACATCTTTTGCTGTAGTATTCAGAAACTAATAAAACAGGAAGCTTTTAAAAAATGGTTTAAGCTCAGTACGAGCTATTAAACTAGTAATAGCTGAAATAGAGATACCTAGCCCATCACAGGCACACAGCATAAAAGGTGCATGTGCTTATATGTACAGTCACAGGCGATCCTACAGCTAAAGAGCTACATCACTGGATGCTAATGCAGGTGGACCATAAAGAGGAAGGTTGTTAAGAGCACTGGCTCCAGCCTTGTAATTAGGTTGGCACACGCGAACCCTTGCAGGGTCTGTGCCAGCCTCAGCTGAGATATGTGCAGCTGGAGGTTGAGCCCTCCACCATGCATGCGTGACAGCAGGATACAGCCCAAGCCTGGGCTGGACCTGCAGACTGAGCAGCTGACTCACACACACACCCTATAAGCATTTGTGTTTTCTCCCCAAACCCAGTATGTGCAAACCACATACTTCTACCAAGCTCATCCAAGATCTGAATGAAGCAGAGTTCCCTTTACCTATATATCATCAGAAAGTTGAGTGGTGAATGGTGGTTTCTGCCTCAATTAGGTTAGGTCACTTTCAGGGTGCATTTGGGTTTCAACCCAAATTAGTGGCTTTGGTTCAGATTCATTTGTGGTTTGGCTTAAAAATCAAAGTAAGGTTTAGAGGTAGCAACCTTCACAGAGCTTCCCGCAGTCCCAGAGTAGCACAGCCCTGATATAAATGAATGGGATAAATGGACCTGGCTATGGGACCCAGCTTTGGGACAGGCAGATGACATCTGAGGTCCCCTTCAGGCCTGTTTTTCATACAGCCTGTGCCTGATAAAGGCATTTAAATCAAATCTAGGATCAAATACTACATGAAACAAATGACTGCACCAGAGGATAGACTAAACAGTGACTAACTGGCCCCACGTGAATGTGACACTGCTTTGACAGACCCATGTAAAAAGCAATAGACACACATAGATTTGTTTAAGCCTTGAGCGTTCAGATAAAAGTAAAACCTAGAATAAATTAGTGATGCCTCGCTCATTACAAGCCACAGGTTGGAAGCTGACAGTTTGATTTTACAGGAGTTGTCTCCTGGAGCACGAGCCAGTGGGGCATACGGAAGGGAGCAAAAGGGAGGCGAGGGCTTGACGTGGAAGTGGAGTGGATGGATACTGCTACAACATGCATGAGAAGGTGTTTTTTTTCCCCGAGATTGTCTTGCTTTATCTCCATCTCTCTTCTCCACTCCCCATTATCAGCATTTAGAACACCCCCGAGTTTTCTTGAGCAGGTTTGCTGCGCTCATTAAAATACTGTGCGTACTTATTGGCTATAATGAGCACTCATTAAATTCTGATAAGTGTCAGGACTATTCCATGGAGTTGAACAGACTCAGGTTCTGGGAGGAGAGCTCAGGGGTGGGAAGATACTGGAAATACTACATTTTCCACAAGAACAGAACTACAAACTTTCCCCTCCTTCTTTTTGCTCTGCAAGCACTGGGGTAACTCAGACCTGTTAAGCAGCTGCTATTGCTTACTGACTACTTGAATCACTTCCCTTCCCCAGAAGGACTCTCAGCTCCTCTTATCAGAACAGGGACAAATTAAAGATTTTTCCATATTTGCATCTCCTCATTTGAGAATTTTCCTACATTTGTTGTTTAGAGATAAGTCTGTCTCTAAAAATTCACTTAGCAAAGTGGTTTTCTCAGCCTCGGGGAACAGTGCAGGAGGGATTGCAGAGTAGGATCCAAAGCGGCTGGCGAGGCTGCAAGAGCAGCAGGAGATTTGGAGATGAATAGGTGCATATCAAGGCAAGGATCACATTTCACATGACCTGTTCTTATATTTATTTCCAGTTGGCTGTGTCAGAGACTCACACCCTGACTAGTGTGGCCATGCCTATAATCATAAAGCAGTTCCCACTGCAGGATTCAGTGCTACTGTCTGTGTTTTTATCACTAAATGCTGTTCATCACCTACTAACATTAGAAAATATGAATTAAATAAACCATATACAAATACACTTTACCATGGGCTAATCCCCAGTGAATCAGAGGGCAAGTGACTATTTAAGCAAACAGAATCTGACAAGAACTTGAAGATCAGTATATCCACCAAAATGCCAGTGTATATCCTAGTGGGGTGGAGAGAGCTGCTGGAAGGGAAGGCTTCTGTACGTACCCCTAAGATGACCCTTCTGCTGATGGCCTTGCAAAGTGCGTCAGGAGACAGTAGCAAGGAATAAGGGAGCAGAGAAGTTCGCCTGGTTTCCCAAGCAACTTGTTGACTGACCACCACCACCACCCAGCAGAAAGCATGGACTGACATATCAAAGTTATGTTATTCTAAAGAAATAAAGTTGCATTATTGGTAAGTGAGAATCTGAAATCCCATTATTTTGTGCTTGGGCTAATACCCATACCACTGCTTGTATGATGAGCCTATGACCAAGTTTTCCATCACCTCAGACATACTTGCTTTCCAGCTACATTAATCTAAAGACCACAGTGCAACACAAAATGTGTATCAAAATGGCATTAATTTCACAAGACTAAATAACTGGTATGGTTAAGAATTAATTGCTCCAGTTTGGCTCACTCTTCACCCACTCACAGGAGCTTTCTGTGGATTACTGCTTTATAATTGCTTGCTCCCTGAGCACATATACATCGCAATGTTCTGCACACCTTGACAGCATCCTGGTTAGAGAAAATGAATGCTACATGTTCCCCTGACACAGCATTTAATCTGCTGGATACAACAAGTCAGAGGTTTTTTACTCAACTTCTCATGGCCCATTAATGACATAATGTTGGACACAGCTGTTCAGGGCTTCGCAAGACCAAAGCAGAGAAAGAAATGCTGGGAGACTTCAAACACACTGTTCACATCAGAGCCTGGCTGGGAAGGTTCTTGAAAGTGGTCAGCACTCTCATGAAGTAAATCTAGGATTAAAGCCTCAAATTTAGTTTCTCCTGAAGACACAAATGATCTTAAAATAATTCCCTCTGACCAAGGTGGCAATGACTGCTTAGAAGAAGAGAGGACTAATAATTTCATTTTCACTCTGCTTGGCCAAATTATCTACTGAAAAACTAGGACCTGCCATATATAAAGGCTCACTTGCCCTGGAAGTGGGGTGTGCCTGGTTCATCATGTCCTGACTTTCAGTGTGTTTGACAAGGAGAGGTGAAGCTCACCCTGTAAAAAGGCAATTCAAGGTCAAGACACTCCTTAAGATCTGAAATAGTTTGAACAGAGTTGAAGTGATGTACTCCAGGCCCAGAAGGTACCATCTGCCCCACTGCAATCTACCTCCCAGTACAACTCCCTGCCCAAAATTTTTCCAGGAGATTCTGGAAATTTAACCCTGGTCAGGAGATCTGTGCAGCAAGGGAGTGCTGCTGGTAGAACAGATGTCCACCAACAACAGCACAATGAGGATAAAGATATGCTCCACCTAAATACCACACCCAGAGAGCCATTCTGGAAATTTAATTTTTCTCTTCCCTAAGAAAAAGGTAAATTGACCTGCTTGACTTTCCAGTCATGAAGAAAATCAGAAAAAGTCTAAGAGAAAGGTTCAAACACATTCCCATGCCTCAGTTCAAAATAACCTTTTTCATTAATTTTAAAACATTTTATAATTGAAAACTGGAGGACAGCGGTGTATATTGTTTACATATATACATGTATATGTATATAGAGCAGGTAGGAGGAACATGATTTGCAACACTGAGCTGATTCCTCAGCTTGGCAATACTGCAGACATCTCCAGCAGAAAAGAGGATCATTGGGCAAATTTGTTCCTCCCTGTAATAATGACTATCCATGGCAACTAAAACACCCCGTTATTGAAGCTTTATCTGAAGTCATGCTCAGAGGAAAGACCATCACCCTCCCTCATCTTTCCCAGACCTTTCAGGGTAACCCCTACTTACAATTGTGAAGTTCATAACCTTCAGAATCCAGATGGTCATAGCAAGGTTCACCAGGATTAAAATCATTAGGAGCAGCACAAAGAAATACAGGCATCTCTTCCTCCAGCCATAAATGCCCACTTTGTATACCTGGGGTCCTTCCGAGGTCTGCATGGTGCTCCGGTGCGCGTACTGTTCCTGAGGCATCTGAAACGATCACAAAGAAATAACTACGTGTATTAAGAGGAAAGAGAAAGCCGACAATAAAAACTGCTCATGTCTGTGCCTCTTAGAGGGCTTTGTTTCTTCTTTTTCAGAGTTTACCAGCTGGGCAGCGTCTCTTTTGGTATCTTGGTTCTGCATTTTTTTTTTTTTTTTTAATGCTTACTGTATGCAGTAACATACCAAAAGAGAATTTTATGTGTTAAATGTATATATATATATTTATAAATACACGTAAGCACACTGTCTAAAGGTATCCTATGGAGATCACTCTCAAGTGACTCCCTTCACTGCCCCAGGTTTTGCAAGGCAGGCACTCCAGGGCCTCTAAGGATCCAGAGGGGAAAATTTTGCATGCGTTTGGTAAAAGCAGTTGAGTTCAGCAGTTTGTTTTGAAGATGCAATATTGCTTCTCAGAGGCTTTAATTTAAAACAAAACAAAACAAAAGAACAACAACAACAACCTCAAATAAAATCATTCCTTCCAGCCAAAGAAAAAAGGCAAAGGGGAGATGTTTGCCTTTCTTCCCACACCCCAATCCTTCTTAACCAAGTACACCTGAAGCACAAGGTTCTTCAGCTGCCCTAATTATCTCCATATATCTAATGCTGGTTTAACAAGGGCTCTAATACCCTGGGTAGGCATGGAATGCTAGGACAACACTGGGGGCCAAAAGCAAGGAAAGAGGGAAGGAAGGAAAGCTGGTGCTGAGGAAAGTGGTGCAGCGGCATTCCCAGGAAGAATTGCCTTACAGTCCCCCGCGACAAGCACTGTCCCCGCTCCTACACCCCAGAACCCAGATGGCTCCAGGCACTCGGGGACCTGGCTGTCCCCCACCATGAATGGAAAGAGATGGATGCTTTTAAACGGCGTTGCAGCCAGCTGGGATGGGGTCCGGAAGCTTGCCCCACGGATCAGTTTCCTACATTTTCAGACTTTTTTGATGCACAGTCTGAGGATATCATATCATCTCTAATAAAACATAGTTTGCTGAATGTTTTGCATTTTAGACTCCAGACAGATAAGAAGCCACAAAACGCGTTCTTGCACTACTGATTCAACACCACAGGCTTCTTCCTCGGGGTATCTGGCATCAACATTTGTATGTGGTGAATTACAAAATTCACATAACAGGAGGAAACAATGCGAGTTCCTCTCTGTGGGAGTGTGATCCACAAGGACAGAATGAGAAAATGGTAGAAATTGGAGGCTCATTGATAGCAGCTTATGTTTGTTTACCATTAGTTTCCTGCTTTTTTCCTTACTTTTTTGCTAATAGCTTCATACTCCAGCATCTAATAAAATACAGTGTGCAGTCAATGGTGGTGCAGAGCCCACTGCAGGCCAATGCAAGGAGAGTTTCTTGATGGCATAACTTTTATTCCAGTAGCATTGCACCAGGGATGAAGTTACTTTGCTGCTCCAATCCTGATGCCCACACATTTGAGGCAAGGGCTGCCTGAACAACCAGTTACCTTTTTTTTTTTTTTACCTTTTACTACTCCAGAAGTTGATAAGACCTGTGTTTTCTAACACTGCCTGGTGCTGTCACTGGCAGCATAGGGGATTATCCCCCTCTCCCTTCTTCCACAAACCTCCACCCCTCACCCGGACTGAAACACAGCCTCAGCTGCTAAATAAAACCTGGGGAGGCTGGTGTGCTTGCACCCCTGCTCTCATCCCAACACCAATGTTCCTCTGGCGGGTGGAGGTGCCCATCTGCCACCTTCTCTAATGCTAGCAACGCTGTTAATCCCCCACATTCAAAATTCATGACAGCGGCTGAAAACAGGAAGATTTTAAAAAACAGTAACAAATGAGGTACTTCTATCATGTTCTCAGGTTTCTGAACCATTGCATTTTCAAGATTTTGTCCACCACGGCAAAAAAAGCAGGTCAGACTTGTGCATCAGCAAGGTGCTGCAACAGACGCCCACAAGAAGAGACTCTGGGCACTAGTGCTGCCCATCTGCAGGCAGCTGCCAAGCTGAGCTGCCCCCTTCCAAGCAAAGGTGTTGCCTGTGCTCGCTAAATGAAAACTAGAGCAAGGCGAGCCTCAGCCGGACCGTCTATGCCTCCCAGCCTGCCTGCTTTTTCCAGCTTTCTCAGATGGTCTAAAAAAAGGATCTCACATCCTCCCCAACCATGCTTCATTTACAACCTCAGACTACCCCAGCCCCAGCTAATTCCGTGAAGATCTGAAACGTTAATTAACACGGACAGTCAATATCACGTCGGCAGGAGCCAACGGCTCACAGCAAGCAAACCTGTTCTTAATACAGGTTGGCACAGCCAGATTAGCCAATGCCCACTAAGCCTACATCACTGAAGATAGGTGTGTCTGTATTAAAGAGCAATTTTCAGCAGTGTAAGTGGGCTCACCATAAATTACTCCTGCTGTTCAGACCAGCTGGGGTATCTATCTCCACATCATAAAATCACCCGAAGCCCAGGCAGACCTGTAGACTTTACCAAGGGGGTACAAAGCAAGTTGATTACAATAGATCCAACTTGGTCTGCACTGGCATTTTTGCTCACAGATGCCAAGTCAGCAACTGCGGAGGGCTTTGCAGCACAGAGCTCATCAGAGAGAAGCTGGGTCACCAACAAATACACATGCTTGGAGAAAAACAGGCCTTTTATATGGCTACAACCACTCCGATCAGTGCAAAGGGAAAACTTAAACAACAATAAATTACAGAGTTTCCACTACCTGGGGGAAATTATAACCACAACTACTGTACAGTCAAGGATTTTATTGCTTAATATTTTAACAGGGGATCCTGGAGAGCACATATTAAATGCAGCCTCTCCCTTGGAGAAAATGAATAAATTGCATTGCTAACTCTCTCAAATCATGGAAGAGTTTTGACCAAATAAGAAACAATATGAAGTACCCAGCTCAAAATATCTCTTTATTGCAAAACTTGTTTATTCTCTTTACCTCTTTCTTGCTTTCTCTTTTCTTCCTTTTATCTTTACTTGCAGTCTCTAGGATGGAGAAAATAGCATATCCAGCTGGGGCAAAACTTTGCAGACATCAAACAAATTTATAGGAACAGAATGTAACTACAAAGAGCTACTTGTGTCCACACAGCAGCCTGATTTTGAGAATTTCTTTGGTTCTACTAAAATAGTTAGCTCACAGATGCCCTAATAGAGATAGAGCAACTGAAGTACCACAACAACAAGCACAGTGAGCATGACTTAGTAATACATCATAAATTTATAACATGAAAAAAACATGGGAATCGCAGACAGCATGTTCTTTCTATACAAAGTCTCACATCGCTATGTTTAAAGCTATATATGATTTCTAGCTAGCATTTCCCCACCCCTGAATTGTGAATACCAAAAGAAAATGCTCATGACTGTAGTTCGCCAGGAGGGGAAGACAGAATGATGGACAGAGAGTGCTGAGGTGTGTTAAATGAGTAGAATAAGAAGGCCTGCAAGGCAACTACACAAGGAAGCATCTATATCCGCTATCAGTAATCTGGTATGTGTGGGAGGGAAAAGTATGCTAGTCATAATTTACATTTTGGCAACTTCTCCTGACTCTAAAACATTAGAAAGAACTAAGGCACCAGAAAAAAAAAGTATTGCTGTGAAAGGACATCCAGTGGTTGGATTTGCAAGGTACCGCCCCCCCCCCCCCCCCCTTCAATTACTGATCTAAGGGGAAAGACTGCTAGTTGCTTAATAGGATTATTTCCTTCTTCTTTTCAGGAAAATATTAGGAACAACCACCTAATTTCATAATAGTTGTGAAAAGATATTACTGAAACAAATATAGAAATTGGAAAGAGAAGCACTCCTTCCTAAAGTCAAATCTGAAAGTGTCTGCTTGACATAAGGGAGCTTAAAGACATATGTGCACAGCATTGGACCACCATCAGCTCATGTACAATTCCATTTACAATACAAAAAATGCAGTATGCCAAATCTTTGCAGTTTAGCCACCGACAACATTACCATGACTACAAAAGTATAGCCTGGAACCTGGGTAATTCTCCAAGGAATTTTGCTGCTGCTGCAAAAAAATGGGTAATAAGTTTTTGCACAAGAGCTGCACACTGAGTCCTTATACATGAACACTGAGAACAGGGCCTGATACAAAATCCAGTCCATTTAGAAAAGCTATTCATCCTTTCACTTTAGCATACCTTAGAGATATGGTCCATGACAAGAAAGATTTATTTGTTTTTTTAAGATCACTGGAAGAGTCATGTCACCATGTCCTCTGATCCACACAGGCTGCTTGCTGAAGTACTTCTGGCAAAGAAGCTGCAGCCCTTTCCTTCAGTAAAGCTGAAACCAGGCCCAGCTGAAAGGCACTGCAAATCAGAACTGGCATTGAGCTTCCAAAAATCACATCATACCCCTCCAGTTATGGCAAATCTTTATTAAATGCCTCTCTCCCTTCCACCACGTCCTCCTGCCCTGGCAGAAAGCATCTCACCGAGGGCACACAATTCAAATTAATGATTCATCAGACAGAAGTGGTTTATATGCACAAGGATGGATAAACACCTTCCCCTTGCAAACAAGGGAGATGTAACATCCCCTGGCCATGCTGGTTTTGTAAATTCAGTGAGGACTATGAACAGGGTGGGGCATAAGAAGAGGAATCAATAATGTTTCTGTGGCCCGGGGGTTTCTTTGATCAGCACTTAAATGATGTATATTTAGTAATAGAACAATTTTAAGCTGAGAGGGGATGCAGTCTGGGAAGGTGTCTTTTCTCTTATGAGCCCACTTGAAATTTGCTGCCAAAAATGCCCTAGAGCTCATCAGATCTGCTCGCTACAGCACAGACCAAAAGCCCCTAAGCTCTGCACAGCTGACGTGGCATCTCTCCTCCCTGCCTACTTGCATGTAATTGAGGTGTAACAAATTCATCAGAAAAATGAAATGCATCTGACCCCAGGATAACCTATAGCATGGTGATGGGAACATGTTTCTAGAGATGAGAGAGGGGCTC